CTCTCGGGTAGTGGATTACTTAGTGCCACCACTTATCAGTTCAAGTTTAACACACTGACATGAAAGCTAGCTCTTATTTGTTACGCTCAGCTACTTTCCGTCAAGCCTTACACTTTCGAATGTGTGGGGGATTGTTGGGAAACATTCTAAGCAAAGGCTTCAAATGAGATCCCTATTTTAGTGGATCATCTCTTAATCTGTCTGAACAAATTAAGTAAACAAATTAAGTGGCTAACATTGGTTGCATGATGCTTGGCCATACAAAGCCTAATCTTATGCTGATCGTCCACACACTGCCTACAATGGTGGTAAGGTGTAAGAAGTGCACAGACCATTATAAATAAAGCCTTTGGCAGTGTCACTTAATGCAGAACAAGGAAACAATTTACTCCAACACGAAATTCCTAGTCCCTAAGTTCTGAAATTAAGTTGTTTATTTGTTTTTCTGCTATCAGTCGAAGATATAACGATACCCTGGTCGTTAAATATCTTTAAGATAGTGTTGCCAAACACGACACAGAACGCTGCCGGTTTTTATACTAAAGCAACGACACATCGCGAGCTTCCTTCCAGGTATTTATTTTTGTTGTTACGCACAACAGATTACTCTTTAAAAAAAAAATTAAAAATTCACATTGGCCACTTTTGCAATTCTGACTATTTGCATACACGGCTGGAAATCTCGCTATTTTCGTCCAACCGTAAGTTGGTCGGTATTTTAATAAAAATTTCAACTTCCTGTCGCAAAAGAAGGGTAGACAGAAAGTTGGTCGGAAGTTTCGTCCAACAATTCACGGAAATTCTGTCCAACCTATAGTGTTGGTTGGAAAACTCAAATTGACTAATAGGTAAAAATTAAAAATGGTTAGTATTTTAATTTTCGTCCAACATGTTGTTGGACGGAAATTTAAATATTTTAACCTTCTCTTCTTTTTCATAGTTGAAGGCTCGAAGACTTTCCCTCCCGTCCAAGACTACCGTCAAATACTTGCAGCCACGACTGCTTCCGTCGTCCAAGCTCAGCAGACCGCCGGTGGCTACTCAGATCGCGCGCGTGTTCAGTTTCGAGGCAGAACTGCGAGCTCTGCTCAACATCCCGGAGGTTTACGTCGTGCCCTTCCTCTTCTCTTCTTTGGAAGCCCAACTGAGAGGTAAGTTTTATTTTTTAATTTTCAACTCTCCTCCGTTCTTTAGATCTGTATAAACGGAGCACTTCTTCGGCGAGTCCTATTTCGGATCTACGCTGGCAACTCATATCTACGCTGAGAATGGAAGAGACGAGGACGGCTGAGAATGGTCGCTGCTCTGCCGATTAAATCTGTCTTTGGTGATATTTTGATGATATTGTTATGATAATAGTCATACTGGGCAATAAAATCTGTATTTGCCTTATGAAACTGTTGTTAGTATTGAATTTAGGTCTGCCACGGTTGATTAAACCTTTATATATGCTTACAGTAATGTCTACCCAAGAAAGAATTAAATGTGCACTAATGGATGGAAAACCAGCTAGATTAGTGTCCTTAATAGATTTTGAAAAGGATGTTGTGAACCATCTTTGTTTACTTACAATGAAACCATTCATATATGTGGCTAATGTTGCAGAGTCAGATGTAATGACACGTTACGTGTTGGTGACGGTATGGGTTTATCCATTAGTCGTGTTGGTCATGCTTCCTTTAATAACCCTTCTAAGTCGTTTCAATTATCTAATATCCTTCATGTTCCTAGTTTAATTTGTCTGCATCTTTATCATCGGTTCAAAACTTTGCATCAGACAATAAAATGTTCTTTGAGTTTCACCCAATTTTTTATTATTTTTTTTTTTTTTGTGAAGGATATCAGCACCAAGGAAATTCTTCTACGGGGCAATAGCTCTGGGGGCCTTTACAAGCTTCCCATTCCAAGTTCGTCTCATTCCGCGTTTCTTTCTGCTCGAACCACTACGTCAGTCAGGCGTGATCATTTGTGCAATCCACACCATCGTGTCCTTAGTCAGATTCTTCAGTCTTGTTCGGTTAGTGGGTCTAGCAATACTATTCAATGTAATTTGGGTTTGTGTAATGCGTGTCAATTAGGAAAATCTGCACGTTTTCCCTTGCCACGTGTTGAGTCTTCTAGTTCGAACATTCTTGATTTAGTTTATACAAACATTTGGGGACCAGCTCCTATGTTATCTAATAATGGTTATCGATACTTTGTTATTTTCGTGGATGACTATTCTCAATACACCTGGTATTTCCGGATCCCCATGAAATTAAAGTCTAATCTTTTTGCAATTTTTGATAAGTTTCGTTCTATGGTTGAGAGATCCTTTAATCGAAAGATTAAATCCATATAGTCTGATCTAGGAGCTGAGTATAAAAAGTTACATTCCACCTTTGTTCAGTTAGGCATCATTCATAGACAGTCATATGCATACACTCATGAAAAAAATGGTCGTGATGAAAGAAAGCATAGACACATTGTTGAAATAGGTTTAACTCTCTTGAGTTGTGCTTGTGTTCCTTCTAAGTTTTGGGGATTATGCATTCGAGATTGCTGTTTATTTAATTAACATAATACCATGCATCCACTGTGTTAAATAAATCCAGTCCCCATCTCATGTGGCATAAATCCCCTCCATCAAACTCTTTTCTTCGTGTCTTTGGTTGTCTATGCTATCCTTACTTACGTCCATATAATCATCAAAAAATGTCTTACAGATCCTCTCATTGTGTCTTCCTAGGTTATCCTGAGTTATTTAGGGGGTATAGGTGCATGGACTCACAGACTAAAAAAATTATGTATGCAGGCATGTACGGTTTGATGAGGGGGTTTTTCCTTTCAGTGCTAAAAATGTTTTGCAAGCACTGTCGGTTCCAAAGGATCAACCATGGGCGGAATCTGTTCTAGTTCCAATCGCGTTCACCGCTCTGGTTCAAGATGCACTGCCCGAACCGGTTCTGGCTCACATAGACCAGCTCGAACCGGTCCAGGCAGAACAGACCGAACCCACGCAAGCAATGGCCACTGCCTAGTCCCGAGGCCGGCCTAGAGGACGGTCCACGAGACTGACAGTTCGCTCCCATACCATGGCCACTCGGAGTCAATCACAGGCTCCACCTATGTTTCTGACTGCTCAGGTTTGTCCCACTGAACCCACTTGTTATACACAGGCAGTCAAATATCCCGAGTGGCGCATGGCAATGGATCAAGAGTTCAATGCTCTACTTCAGAATGAGACTTGGTGTCTTGTTCAATCACAGTGAGATATGAATGGTATTAGATGCAAATAGGTCTTCCGCACGAAAAGAAAAGCAGATGGTTCAATTTAAAGGTGCAAAGCGAGGTCAATGGCTAAAGGATTCAATCAAGTACCTAGACAGAATTTTTTTGACACATTCAGCCCGGTGGTTAAACCCACAATTGTCAAGTTACTTCTATCTTTAGCTATATCATCTTGTTGGGTTATTAAGCAGCTTGATGTGCACAATGCCTTTTTGAATGAGAAATTATCTAAAACTGTTTATATGAAGCAACCACCTGGTTATATTGATACCCAGTTCCCTAATCATGTTTGCATGCTTAAACAATCTTTATATGGATTAAAACAGGCTCCTAGAGCTTGGTTTAATCGCTTGCACACGTTTCTAATGTCGGTTGGGTTTAAAGCTTTGAAAACATATGTATCTTTATTTTACTACTCACAAGATTCTGCTTTTGTATATATTTTGGTATATGTTGACAATATCATTGTGATGGGAAGTGATCAGAATCTAGTATGTACTCTACTTACGAAATTGTATTTGAATTCAAGATTAGGGATCTTGGTGAACCTGTTTTCTTCTTCTTGGAATTGAAAGTGTTAAGTGTGGTGCTGGAATTTTACTTTCTCAACAGAGATACGTGACATATATTTTGAAACGCGCTGGTATGACAGACTGTAAATTCTTAGCTACTCCTATATCTGTTTCGAAATCCACTATCTTCAATGCAGATTTATATCATGATGCTACACAGTAAGGAGTTTGGCTGGAGCTTTACAGTATCTTACTGTCACACGCCCGGATTTATCCTTTGCAGTCAATCAGCTTTGCCAACATATGCACGCTCTTACGGTCTCTCATTGGGAGCAATTGAAACGTGCACGGAGGTATGTCAAGGGAACTATCACTTTTGGTTTGCATATTAGGAAGTCAATGTCTAGAGAGTTGCATGCTTTTTTCGATTCTGATTGGGCTGGCTGTCCTGAGGACGGTAAGTCAACTAGTGGTTATACTGTATTTCTTGGATCCAATCTTGTGTCGTGGGTGTGTGAGAAACAAAGAAGTATTGCTAGATCTTCTACTGAGGGCTGAATATAATGCTCTAGTAGATGTCTGTACTGAAGTGATTTGGATCCTACCCCTGCTGTGAGATTGGCGTGACTAGTGTGTCTGTTCCCAAGTTGTGGTGTGATAATCTTGGTGCTACATGCATGTGTGTAAATGTAAATCCATATTTCATGCTCGTACTTAACATGTGGAGATTGATTATCACTTTGTTAGAGACCGAGTTGCAAATAGAGATATACAAGTTAATTTTATCTCAACCAAAGATCAACTTGCTGATATTTTTACCAAGGCTATACCTGGTCCTAGTGACAGGATAATAGGGCTAGCACCCGACCCGGATCATCTACAGGCACTCGACCCAGCACCATGTGAAAACTCAACGGATAGAATTCCAACGGGCAGAACACCAACGGGTGGTGAATTTAGTGCCACTTATTGCTACCATTGAAGCCACCATTGATGAGAGAGAATTAAAGGCCTCAGCTCCTCATTTATGTCCCACCATGTTACCATTAGGGCTTAGTATAAGTAGAAGCTCCCCTCAGCTTGAAGGGACACGCCATATTCTGTACTGAAAAGACTGAACACTTAGCAATACAATTATCTTAGTTCACTTATGCAACTATTGTTAGTCATATAATATTATCCGGTAACATATTTACCATCATTCACGAAGCATATTTCCTATTCAACCTAACATAACATAAAATGATGAAAACTGATAGAATTGTATTGAATGAATGTGATTACAAATATACAGATTACAGGTATATTTGTAATCTGTATACCTGTAATCTGTATATTTGTAATCACATTCATTCAATACAATTCTATCAGTTTTCATCATTTTATGTTATGTTAGGTTGAATAGGAAATATGCTTCGTGAATGACGGTAAATATGTTACCGGATAATATTATATGACTAACAATAGTTGCATAAGTGAACTAAGATAATTGTATTGCTAAGTGTTCAGTCTTTTCAGTACAGAATATGGCGTGTCCCTTCAAGCTGAGGGGAGCTTCTACTTATACTAAGCCCTAACGGTAACATGGTGGGACATAAATGAGGAGCTGAGTCCTTTAATTCTCTCTCATCAATGGTGGCTTCAATAGTAGCAATAAGTGGCACTAAAGTCACCACCCGTTGGTGTTCTGCCCGTTGGAATTCTATTCGTTGAGTTTTCACGTGGTGCCGGGTCGAGTGCCTATAGATGATCCGGGTCGGGTGCCAGCCCTATTATCCTGTCACCAGTCCCCCCTACTCCTGAGTCAACGGATGTGTTTGAGTTGACTTGGGAGTAAGGCTGAATCTATCTTGATCCTGTGTAAAATCCTGGTTGATTTAGGATTTGAGATCTTATTTGATCCTGTGTAGAATCCTGCTTGATTTAGGATTTGTGATCTTATTTGATCCTGAGTATGTGATTTTATTTTCCAAATCAAACATGATTTTTTTTTATGCTGGCCGAGACGGACTGCGGCATAGGCTGGCCGAGGTGCGTGCCTCCGCCGATCACGGCCGAGGCGCCACCTCGATCGATCGTTCATGGCTGAGGCGTCGCCTCGACCGCTCGTGGCCGAGGCGTGCGCCTCGGTCGATCGTGGCCAAGGCGTCGCCTTGGCCGATCGTGGTTGAAGCGTCGCCTCGACCAACCGTGGCCGAGGCGTGCGCCCCGATCGTAGCCGAGGCGTGCGCCCCTATCGTAGCCGAGGCATGCGCCTTGGCCGAACGTGGTCGAGGTGTCGCCTCGACCGATCGTGGCCGAGGCGTCCGGCCCTTTTTTTTTCTTTTTTATTTTTACGGACAGGCTGAGGCCCTAGGCCGAGGTGCTGCGCCTCGGCCAATGGCAGAGACGCGTGCCTCGGCCTGGCTGAGGCGTGCAGGCCCCCGGCCGAGGCGTGCGCCTCAGGCCCTAGCCGAGGCGTGGAGGCCCCCGGCCGAGGCGTGCGCCTTGCGGCCTTTTTTTTTTTTTTTCGGCTGAGGCGTCGCCTTAGCCGGGTTTAGCCGAGGTGTCGCCTCAACTGTGGGCGCTGGCCGAGACGCGTGCCTCGGCCAGTGACCGAGGCGCGCGCCTCAGGCCTTTTTGCGGCTCAGCTTGAGGCGCCGCCTCAGTCATGCCTTGGGCCGAGGCGTCGCCTCAGTCATGCCTTGGGCCGAGGCGTCGCCTCAGCCCGCGTTGGGCCGAGGCGTGCGCCTCCCGGCCTTGATTTTTTTTTTTAACAATGCGGCGTCGGCCGGCTTTTGGTTGATCGAAGGTGGTGCTGAGAACCTTTTATTTGAGCAAAGTAACCTGGGCAGACCATGATTACAAAATATTGTTTACAGGTCTGCGGACCACGACTACAAAATATTATTTATAATATCTAATTAAATGTTCTGAGTTCCATACCCGATCGATCATCCTTGCAGATGGTGTGGACTTGTAGGTCCTTTCCGCCAATCTTTTTGCATGCTTTTACGTAACAACTGCGTGCTGCTCACTGGTCTCCTCTGACGACTCCTATCCCACTCGGAGTAGGGAACTTCATACACAAGTGTTCCACCGACACTATGGCCTTGAGGTCCTCCGGTGCCGGTCTCCCCAAAATGATGTTGTGCACACAAGTGAGTCTTACCACGATGAATTCCACGTCAAGTTTGTGAATGTTAGGGCTCGTGCCTATCGCCACTGGTAAGACCACTAACCCCTCCGTCTCCACTGAATCACCCGTAAATCCAGAGAGTGGGGTACGTACTTCTTTGAGCTGGTTCCTAGGTATCCTTAACTTGGTGAAGGCATCGTAATACATCACATTGACTGAGCTTCCCGTGTCGACTAAGATGCGGCGGACAATGACATTGTTGACGTCCATCTCAATCACCAAGGCGTCATGATAGGGTAACGGGCCCTCTGGGAGGTCATCATTAGAGAAGGTGATGGCCTCCTTTCTCTGTTTCTCTTCTCTAGGAAGACTCACCACTTCTCCACATATAGCTGCCAGCTCTACTTCTTTCTTTCCGTAGGCGTGTCACCCCCTGCGGGTCCACCATAGATAAAGTGTATGGTGTGCTTCTTTTGTCGTCTGGGCGCCACCTCGATTTCTTTCTCGCTATCATTCTGCTCAGATATTTGGTCGTGTTCTCTTTTTTTGGCGTTCGAGGTGGACAGCTCTGTGCCATCCTCATTCGTCCAGACATTTTTTGGTGGATTGTGTTGCGGTTGTTGCTGCTGCTTGGATAGCTTGACGAAATGTCGGAACTAGCCCTGCTGGATGAGTTCTTCTATTTGTCTCTTCAAAACGTGACACTCATCCGTATCGTGGCCGGTTTGCCTATGAAACCTGCAGTACTTTGTTTGGTCCGCCTTCGGGGAGACCTTCATGCACTCCTCGAGGAATTCTACCATTCCCATCTCCTCAGCTTGCTTTAGAATGACACTGACGGGATGGGTAAGAGGAGTTAAATTATGCAAGGGGACCAGGCGATGTCGTTCGTGGTCTCGGCTTTTCCCTGCAGTCGGGTGGTTCGAGAGTGGTGCCTGGCTGGGCGGACCCGCTTTCCCAGGCTTCCCACCTTTCCTACCATCCTCTTCGTCCTTCTTCTTCCTGTCGACGTCCTCTGCTTCTGCATAGCAGCTAGCCGTCCTTATCAGATCTTCGTAAGAGCGGGGGTGGTGGGCGTTCAGCTGCTTGTGGAAATACCCTGATCTTAAGGCATGGATAAATATCGGGATCGCCGCCTTGGAGTCGAAGTCGTAGACATTATTAACTTCCTTTTTCCATTTTATCAGGAAGTCTTTGAGGCTCTCGCCTCTATCTTGCTTCACTACACAGAGGTGAGAGAAGGGTTTCTTACGATGTATGCTACCGGAGAAGTATGTCAGGAAGCTCTTGGACAACTCCCAAAAGTTTTGGATCGACCCATCCGGGATGGTGTTGAACCAGTCTTGGGCCGCTCCATCCAGGGTGGACAAGAACGCTCGGCACATGATGGAGTCCCCTGCCCTGATCATTACCATAGCAGCCTTGTACCTCGTCATGTGGACACGTGGGTCAGTGACCCCCGTGTACTCCTTGATGGCGGGCAACCTAAAGTCCCTCAGCAAAGGTACGTCCATGATGCTTGGGGAGAATGGTGCTGCCATCCGTACCTCGGGTTCCGGCGACTGCTCCCGTGCCTCCACCCTTCTTGCTAACTCCTCGATTCTTCTCTGCAACCTCTCGACCAGGGCCAACACGTCAGGGTGCCGGAGCGGGACCGGCTGCCTTTCCTCCAAGTGTCGGTGTAGAACCCGGTCATCAACGCATCGCTTCCCCGCCGAGTGCCGACGCGGAGCCGGCTCTTCGACGCGTCGCTCCTCCAAGTGTCGACGTAAGGCCGACTCATCAACGTGTTGGCGTGGGGTCGGCTCCCAAGACTCGCCCACCTCTTCTGTGGGTGATCTCTCGGCTTCTCTGTTTTCGTGTTGGCGAGGGCCTCTGGTAGAGGACCCCTCGGCCCGTGATCCTAATCTTTGCCGCACGGGCGCCCTCTGTCCCAATCGTTCTGGTGCAGATTTGGAAGGGCCTGGTTGTCGTCTGGCCAGTCCACTTCTTTGGGTCTCCACCCCTATTTCCTGGGGCTGCGGGGGCACTTGGCCTTGCAGTCCCACCGCCACCCGATTTAGCGCCGCCGTCACTGCTTGCTGAATGACATCGGCGGTCGCCTGGAGGTTCTCGGCTTGGTTCACCCCTCCATTGTTGAGTTGGTCTCGAAGGTCCCCGGGCCTCCCGTTGTTGAGCTGTTCTCGGAGGTCCCCTCCGCGATTGTTGGTGAGTTGGTCCCGGAGGTCACCTGAGGCATTGCCATTGTTCACGTTGCGGGAACCGTGGGAGCTACGGGACACCATTCTTTCAAGCTTGTTGTTGAAAGAGGAAAAGAGTTGTGTGTGTCGTCGCCTGCTTGAGTGTTGGACTCAGGCTCTCAACGAAAGCACCAATGACGGTAAATATGTTACCAGATAATATTATATGACTAACAATAGTTGCATAAGTGAACTAAGATAATTGTATTGCTAAGTGTTCAGTCTTTTTAGTACAGAATATGGCGTGTCCCTTCAAGCTGAGGGAAGCTTCTACTTATACTAAGCCCTAACGGTAACATGGTGGGACATAAATGAGGAGCTGAGGTCTTTAATTCTCTCTCATCAATGGTAGCTTCAATGGTAGCAATAAGTGGCACTAAAGTCACCACCCGTTGGTGTTCTGCCCGTTGGAATTCTATCCGTTGAGTTTTCACGTGGTGCCGGGTACGGTCGAGTGCCTGTAGATGATCCGGGTCGGGTGCCAGCCCTATTATCCTGTCAGTGAAAATACCCTCCTCTCTGCGATGAAGAACAAAACAGAAGAGATGGAATAAAGAGAAGGAGATATCATGAAATGACGCAAATACCCTCTTCTCAAACAGCCATCTAACGGGAATGTAGGCGAAGGGCCAAAATTGTCCTCGTCACAATAAGTGTGTCCATAAATTGTCCAAATTTTTTATGGAGGACTAAAATTGTCTTTGTCACCAAAAGTCTAAGACCAAAAAAGGATTTATTTCTTCCTCTTTTTTTTTTTTTTAGAAATATATTTAACTCTTCGTTTAATTGTTATATTATATATTTGTAAGGATTGACTGAATAAAATTGCTCTCTAGGAAATTCTTGCCTCTACTCTCTATTCTGTATTTACATTTTCCTGTTTATTCTATCTTCACAATATCTTCTGCAAGTTCACCGACTAGGAGTTAACAGGACAACGGGTACAATAAACTATAACAGAAATAACATAGCATTTAATAGATTTCTAGTCTTTTTTTTTTTTTTAAATAAATCAAACATGAAAATATAATTTTATGATTTTTTTACCGAACACCAGAAAATAATATATTTTCTAGAAAATGATTCATTTTTTAAAAATTTCACGCTCTCTCTTTTTCAACTATCTAAAATGTGATTGTAATTTTATAATTTTTTTACCGAACACCTGAAAATAATATATTTTCTAGAAAGTGATTCATTTTTTAACTAATTTCTTGCTCTCTCTTTTTCTACTATCTAAAATGTAAAAGAAAATTCGACCATTTTTTGTGGGTGTACCCAGGGTTATCACTGCCCAAAGATTTAAGACTGCTCCATATTCAAAGCTAAAAATTGAACCCTAACCTTTGATTAAGAATAAATGATTACTTTCCATTTAACCACAACCCCAGGTTATTCAGACCATCGTTGAATTGATTGTGGTAAAAAAGAACTTGTAGTGTTTTTTTTTTCTCTAAATATAAAGATATAAAGTGATTAATGGAGAAAGGAGAAAAGGAGTAACAAAAAGAAAGAATAGAAGGAAATTCTTAGAATTAGTAGGGGATTTCCATGGTTTCAAGTGAGTTTTGTCGTAAAGTCAAATTCAATATGCCCAAAAAAGCTCGAACTGCGTCTCGGCTTCAAAATTCATACGGTTTTGTTGATTTGATTAGTCTACTATTTGACTGTTCAAAATATTAGTTTTTTTTTTTGAAAGTTACTGGCTCTATTACATTGTAGTATCTGTTCATATACTTTCTCAACCTACTGAAACATAAAGAACCAATAACGCCTCCACTGAGGCTCGAACTCATAATCTTCCAAATGGAAGTCCAATCCGGGTACCATTAGACCACATAGTCCTAGTATTTAAAATATTAGTTGAATACTACACAATTAAATAAATATTATTGATTTTCAAAAAAAAAATAAATAAATAAATATTATTGGGAACAATATATTTCATCAGGCCATATGTATGCTACTATTGAATTAGTTCAACGCATGTACTCATTTGATCAATGAAATTGAATTAATAATAGGTTCAACTGGATGGCCACCTAATTGAAAAAAATAATAATCAAATTGACAAAAAATTATAATTCAATTATATTTTAACTTTTTTGTTTTTGAATGCCAATTATGTTTTAACTTATTTAGTAGGTTATAGTTGATTTGGTGTTGTGTGGTTTTCACTTTTGCATGTTGCAATGATTTAGAACGATGAGTTTGATAATTTTAAACAAAAAGTTTTAAAATAATATTAAATATTTTTAGTAATTCTTAAAATTTTGATAAATGAAAATATATTTTAAAAATCCTAATGTCACCTAAAGTACATATGTCCATCAACAAACAGCCGTAGCTGTGCCAAAACTATCCAAAAAATTAAGGAATAAGGTTCAAATTGGTCACTGAACGTAACCTGAAAATGCAATTAGACCACTGAACGAAAAAAAAGTGCAATTAGGCCACTGAACACTCCAAATGTGTGCAATTTCACCTGATAGCAGGTTACCATCAATTTTAGCAGGTTACCTGCTTACGTGGCAGCTGAGTTGGCATTTTAAATAATTTATAATAACTTTTAATAATTTTTTTTAAAAAAAATTATTTAAAACAAATGTAATTTTTTTAAATTTATTTATTTATTTTTATTTTTTTTAAAAAAAAATTATTATTAAAAGTTATTATAAATTATTTAAAAATTATTAAAAATGCCAACTCAGCCGCCACGTAAGCAGGTAACCTGCTAAAATTGATGGTAACCTGCTATCCGGTGAAATTGCATACATTTAGAGTGTTCAGTGGCCTAATTGCACGTTTTTGTGTGTTCAGTGGTCAAATTGTATCTTTTTTTCGTTCAGTGGCCTAATTGCATTTTCAGGTTACGTTCAGTGGTCAATTTGAACCTTATTCCAAAAATTAATAATTATAATAATTTTTTAAAAAAATGGGGATAGTGATTGGCATAATTGTAGGTGGTTAAAAAGTCTCTATGTTATACAATTCAATTTTTTTTCGTAAAAGGCTCTTGTATAATAGTGATGCGCAAACTTATTTCCTAAACCAATATGAGACAAGTGTTTTTGCAAAGTCTTTTTACCTTCAATTTATCATTCACCCATTATCCATTTTAAGCGTACAATATATCAATTTCTTCATTTTATTACTAAGAGTGAAAATTCACTTTGGCCCGATTCAAATCGGAGGTGGACTCCATATATTTGTACCACGAAATAGCTACTTACATAATATTTTATGCTAAAAATTCCAACAATAATTGCTTAAAAAAATCTAGATCTAAACCATAGAAAAGAATGTGGGCAATCATGATATGGTGGGTCTAGTCTAGTCTAGTCTAGATCTTGCACATTTGAGACAACCCGTGGTTGTAAAAAAGAAATTTTTAAATTTTTTAACGGACAATTATAGTCATCTTCAATTCTTCATCGTCAAAGAATAGAAATTTTTGAATTTTTTAAAGACAAGTATAGTCATCTTCATCATCAAAGAATATAAATTTGTAATTTTTTTTAAGGACAATTATAGTATCTTCATCATCAAAGAATCATGGTTGTCAACGAACATCCTAAAAGACAGTTGATGGCCCGCTAACAACAATTATCTTCTAAAAACAACATAAATTGGATTACCATCCCAAATATTGAGTTTACATTTACTAGATTCCAGGTTATGCCAAAAAAAAAATAATAATAATAAAAAATTGATCCAACTTAGTCAGACTAATCTTAAGTTCACAAAATTTCGCCCTTAGAATCTTTGGGAAGGTAAATAGCAAGTTACAATCAACTCATTGGTAAGATCCTATTCTGTACCAGGGATCCAGACTTTCCACCATTCTTTAGCGTTTTATTACTTGTCAAAGCTATATATATATATATGGCGGAGGCGGTGGCCCCGCCAAAGGCAGTCTCGTATAACCAACGGCCGCTGCCACATACTTGTGGCCGTCAATCTGCCTGCCAGGAGTGTTCGCCGTCAGGGATGGAGGGGATTTCGGGCTCTCGCGGCCGTACCAATTATTACTACCAATAATAGTAGGTGGAAAGATAAAGCTTTTGAGTTTATTAACGTAGTACGACGCTGAAAGTGGTAACGCCCAGGGCAAAGACCGTGATGCTGGTGTCCTATAATCACCGGTCGCCACCACATTCTGGTCGCCGTCAATCTGCCTGTCCGGAGGGTTCGGGTCCGGAGAAGGCGGTTTTGGTGGATTACTGCGGCCACAACAGCCGCTGTTGTTATCAGCAAAAGCGAACAAATTCTTCAAACTCTTAGTACTAGGAAAGACAAACGCTGTGAATTTGTAGAAGTCATATGTGGTTGCAGACCACAAAAATGGATTCATGGCTTGTCTGGGTGGTGGAGAGGGTTTTGGAGATGGAGGTGGCGAGATTGCAGGCCGGTTGACCATTATCGCTTCATTTTCATGATTGGGCGGAGAGACAACACGAACAACAGACCGCACCTTACGAGGTATGAGGATTCTTGACTGAGCAGATCCTAAGAGAGAAGAGAAAATCAGGATCATGGTAGTAATGATACTGAGGATGACACTGCTGATCTCCATCTTAGTTGAATTAGTTTAGTTTAGTTTGAGTGGAGTGAGAAGGAAGCTAAGCCATTGGGCATTTTATAGACTGTTGTTAGTTGCACAATTAAGTTGGTCTAGTGTGAACCTATTGGGGATTAATTATAATATGTATTCCATTTCTAAGCATATAGTCAAAGACTCAAAGTCCTCCCTTTCACTTTGCTTACGGGAAAAAAGTACTATTTGCCCGCGTTAGATTGGACCAGTTCAAATTCCAAGGTTCTTTTGAAGTATTACCAATTTTGGTCCTCAACTTATAAGCCTACCATAAAATATCCTTCTCAAGATTTAGAGTTTGTTGAAAACTTGGAAAATAATTTTTGGAAATCATTTTTCGGGTTTCGAGTGTTTGGCTAGAGAGGGGAGATGGAAATCAATGAAAAATAGGGGTATGGTAAATGGAAAATAGAGGCGATTTTTCTGCTTAATTTCTAAACACACTCTTAGTATAGTTTGTTTGTCGTCTGACTTAAAGGTCATAACTGGAAGTGGCAGTGTGAGGTTTTTTACGGGAAACATTTATGGGAAAAAGACTCAAGAATGCGAGAATATCTCGATTGGATCCATTGTACACCCGTGAAAACTAAGATATGATAGATGGACTGATTGCACGACTGATACTTTACCTCGATAATAACTCTATGATTACCTAACTATTAAAAAACCGGAGGGGGGGGGGGGGGGGGGGGGGCAAAGAATCTATGTATATTATATTAGTACATATATTTAGGATTAGGATTGAGTGGAAAAAAGTGTTAGCTAGTCAAGAGATGTTTGCTCACATGAGATTGGAAGACGAGTCAGCGTGTGGATGTAAGAAATCCCAACTACCAAAGGCAATTGGCCTGCATGAATTTGAACAATTCTTTGAATTGCGCTTTGAATGAAGATTTTAGTACAAATCATTCAAATTAAAGTAAATAATGTTAGGTTGCGAAGGATTGGAGGATTAAGTCCATTATTTTGTTACTTAATATGAATTTGAAATGTGATGTTGATTACTATACAAATATATACAAAAAAAATAAAATTACATTTTAAGAGTAACCACTGTCAAGTTGATGTAATTGTGTTAATTCGCAAAGGATTGGAGGATTAAGTCCATTATTTTGTTACTTAATATGAATTTGAAATGTGGTGTTGATTACTATACAAATATATATATATATACAAATATATATATATATATATATATATATATATATATATATATATATATATATAAAATTACATTTTAAGAGTAACCTCTGCCCAGTTGATGTAATTGTGTTAATTCACAAACCACACACGAGAGGTAAACCACACGAATAAAAACTTATACGATGAGTTTGATCAAGAGTGTATGATGTCCACAAGAATCAAACTCGTGATCTTTAGTACAAGAATCATGCATCACCTACTTAGCCACCCTCTTTCCGGACATGTGAGAGTTATATATTTTTGTATACATTAATGACATGTTTGGTTTATCGAATAGGTCAAGAATGGAATAACATTCATTGGAATAGACCTATTCCCAGGGCCGGTCCTATCATTTTATAGGCCCGGGGCAGGATAAAAAAAATGGGCCCCGATTAATATATATTTCATGCCTAAAATTTAAATTAAATAAAAAAAAAATATTAATATCAATAACTTTAAATAAGATTAACAAATCTTTTACAATTTTACATACACAACAATAATCATGAAAAATATTTCTAGGTGCTTTCCTTAATGCAAAATAATAAATAATCGTATACGTATCTTTATAAATAAATAATATTATAGTTTATAAAAATGAATAAATAATTTAAAATCGAGTAAACTTATAAACAATAACATTGTTATCATAATAAATAATAAATTAATTATTATTAAAAATTTATAAAACAATAATTACAAACATATGGAAAGCTAAATATCTTTTTTGATTAGGAGTAAGAAATTAAAATATTTCAAAACGCAATAAAAAATGTAAAAATATACGAAACATAATTATCTAGATAAAATAGTTTGAACATAAAGTATATTATAAATCACACATCTTCTATATTATTTATATGATTTGTATAAATATTTTTTTTAATACAAATACTTTTTTTAAATATATAAATTTTAAATTTTTTTTAGAATAATTTGAATACATACAATGACACATGATAAAAACTTCTATATTACATTGGTTAGATATTCGTAAAAATGTACGGAGTAAATTATCTTTTAATTTTTTTTATAATTTAATCTCAAAATATATCATATAACCCCATCCGTCCTATTTGTACGTGTTTTGTTTGGTTAACATGAGTTGATTGAAGTTTTTTTTTTAATTCAATTTTTCTTAATATGTTTAGTATAAGTATATAAAAATTTATAAATTTAGAAATTATATTAAAATTTTAATATAAAAATTTATATATTTAATATAAAAAATGTTCATAATATGTTTAGTATAAATATATGAAAATTTATATATTTAAAAACTACATTAAAATTACTACTCGGTATTAAACACAAAATATCAATAAAAATAAGTTTTTAAAATATACATTAGAATATAAGCAAAGAAGTAAAGTTGAGGAATTCTAAAACGTGAAGGGAAGGATTGGATCATGGGCCTTTGATTAATAAATGAGGTTAAAATTTAAATATCTTACCAACCAAGTTAATTCACATTATTATAAAGCATATGTATATAAATTACTTATACTCAATACATATATACTATATATATAAGAGATAGGAAGAGACCCTCCCCCAAACATGGGCCCTGGGCAAGGGCCCAGCCTGCCCTTGCCCCAGGGCCGGCCCTGCCTATTCCATTGTTTGGTTGGGTCATTTTGTCATGGGAATAACATTCTTCGGAATGAGCTATTACCTTTACAAGGAGAATAGTCATTCCTAGGGGGGGTTATTCCATTTTTATTCCTTTAACCAACCAAACACTCGAATACAATTACTAAAGTTTATTCCTTCAGTGAACCAAACAATAAAATACAATTCATATTCTATTCCTTCCATATTCCATTCCATGTGGAATAGCATTTCTATTCCCTCCAAATTCATTCCGTGAATCAAACATGCTGTAAGGATATAAGATGATATGGATTGATTTTTTTAAAGTTCGGGTAGTAGTAGTAGTTTTTTTATTTTTTAAGTCTTATTTTCTTTATTTTTTTTATTTTTTTATTTTTTTTTGTAACTGCTGAGATGTGACCAAATTTGTTTCCTATTTTTCGGGACTATCAAGACTACGAATTAAAGTCGTGATTTCTTCATCATTAATCGAGTATTCGTCCATGAAAAGTGATTAGTGTTTTTTTAAAAATTTTTCGCTTATTTTTTGAGTATAATATTGCATATATTTGGAGGTTGGTGTATATGTACGCATTCTAGGTAGTTGTGCATTCAATTGTGTTTCTTGGGCAACCCAGTCTTATGAGTTGTGCATCATAGGCTGGTGAGTCGTGCATAAGAGCACTTAGTGCGGTGCATCATAAGATTGTTGATAAATATGTGATTTTAAGAGTGGTGCATCGTAAGCTGTTGCGTTGTATATTGGGGCGCTAGGTATAATGCATCGTAGGACTGTGAGTTGTGCATTGTCAGGTATCTGTGCATTGTTATTTTAATTATGGTGTATTCTGGTGTTAGTTGTGGTTCGTTATACTGTCGTTACAGTTTTTCTTGTTTTGTGGAGTTTTATTTTTTGACTTTTAGACACGGTATTAATATAATTAGTAATTAAAAATTGTTTGTTTACATCAATATTTTTAGAAAATAAACAGGTTTGAAAATCGTATTGTGTTAGGAAAATTTTCCTATCTTTACTAAGTTTGTTGTTGTTGTTTGGAAGACAAATTTTCATTTAGGCAAATATTCTTTACTATTGTATTCTCCTAATTTGCTTAATCTAAGCAAATTTGTTAGTTTAATCATAGTCATGAATTCTTTATTTTTAATAGTCCAGATTAATTAGACCACACGTTCTCATCTGGGAGTGATTCTCATGGAACCTGAACCATATATATATATATATATATATATCAGATTCCAACCAGATTCCAACCAGAAACGAGAGCAAAAAGGCTTGATTCAAGCCCGAGCTCGTGTGCGCCGGCACCTGCGGGCACGAAGTCGTCCAGGTAGGCCTTGCGGGCTAAGTTATGCCAATCGGTACCATTTCCAACCAACACGGCACTGGTTTCGGGCCTTGAGGCCTGACCGAAACTTTATATGTTTCGGCCTTGGCTCTATTGCCGGGCCGAAACTATGTCTCGGCTTTGAGGCCGAGACATGCATGGCCGAAGGTTCGGCCAGGTGGTCGAAACTTCAAGTTTCGGCCACCACGAACCTATCCTATTGTGACTGTTGGGTGGTCAAATCAGCTGTTACGGAGTTAATTTTTTGAATTAATTCCAATTTTAATTTTTGAATTGAAACCCATGTTAATGGTTGCTGTTACATGAATGTGGAGGGGTGCCTTAAGTGTCCATTAAAATCTATTTAACTCCTTCATCCCTGTATACGAGAGGGAAGTCAGAAGCAGATTTTTACAACAGAGAACAACAAGCACACTACACGAAACATTGAGTTTTTCAAGCCTCAAAATTCTGCTTCTACTCCTTCTCTTAAGCCTACTGTGTTCATAACCTTGCTTTGTTTGCCGGATTCCTTGTTTGGGTGCTCAAACATTGAATCACAGCAAGTTTTATCCTGGGAAGCCTAGGCCACAAAGCTTCTAGCACTTTTGGGAGGTGGAAAATAAGGTTTTAAGGAAAGAGTGGTCGCTTGACTCTTGCTAAAAACCCAACACCAAACACTAGCCAAATTCTCCTTCTTTCCTTCCCTTATTTTTCCAGAAAAAAATAATAATCCTATTTTATTGGATTATTATTTGGTTTTTCACCAACGGGTAAACAACAGTCTTAAAACCTTATCTCTTGTTTTTCCTGTTGCTGGTCTTCTCTGAATTTCCTTGAAGAAAATGGAGCATCCCGTACTGCCAATCGATGG